CATTAACAAGGTTAAGCTCAACCCCGTTTCCCCAGAACCTTGGAATGCCCCCTCCCCTCTCCCCATTTAACCCCCCTAATATAAGGACAAGTCAATTTGTCAGTAGCTTCCTCTGGCTTGAAACCCCCTCCCCTCGATTTTATAGCCCACTTACCACACATAACAGACAAGTCCCATATTTGTCAGTAGATGCCTTTTTTTCGGCTTAAGCCTTAAGTGCCAAATCACAAAAGAAAAAGCAGTAACAGTTTACAGAAGCAACTTAGTGCCTTGTAATCTAACTTTGTCACTGTGACTACATTACCTCTTCAGCGCCAGAGGGCACCCGTGGGCCTCCCAGAGCCTCTGCCCATGGGGAGGGGGAGGGGACCCAGAACCAGCAGCTCCCTCCGCTGGCCACACATCTGCACCTTCCCTTATTCAGTCTCCCACACACGTCCTTCTCCCCTCTCCAGTGCCCCCCACAACCCTCCTGGGAGAGTTGTTGCCAGACTTAGGTTTTTGGGGAAACCTATCTTGACATTCAAAAACCTTTTTCTTCCCGACCCGAACCTCTGTTGACTAACCTGGCCTGGGTTCGTGCAGGTCTGCAGGAGGAAGACAAAAAGCGGACGAAGATTGTGACATAAGTGGGACTTTGTGATTTAACTTTTTTTTCTTTTTTTTTTTTTTTTTTAAGTGGGGAGGAAGGGGAAGCTAGATGGACTATGAGAGACTTGATTTTGGTGCTAAAAGTTCCCCAGTTCATATGTGACATCTTTAAAAAAAAAAAACAAAAAAAAATGAGAGAAAAGCTAAAAAAAAAAAACATGTAAGGGGTGAGCAGTTAATGGTATTCATTCCACATACATACAGTATCTGTGTAAAACGATTTCCTGTAGAAGTAGGTGTAATGGTTTTTGCTCTAGAATACCGTAGGTCTATCCTTAGAGCACTCACGCCATGCTTTTTTCCCTGGGTTTTAAAACTTCATATAACTTTCAGAAATTGGAGAGCAAAAATTTTGCTTGTCACTGCACATCAATATAAAAAAGCTTATTTAACTTATCAAAACGTATTTATTGCCAAACTATGCTTTTTTTTTGTTAATTTTGTTCATATTTATCGGGATGACAAATCCATAGAATATATTCTTTTATGTTAAATTATGATCTTCATATTAATCTTAAAATTTTGTGACGTGTCTTTTTCCTTTTTTTCCACAGTTTTAATATATTATTCTTCAACGACATTTTTTGTAACTTTACACTTTTTTTGGTTATTTTATTTTAAAAAAATGAAAAATTAATTTAAAAAAATGCAAAAAACTGTTGGATTATTTATTTTAGAAATTTCTCCCCTTTGTGTTGGACTGCAAATTGAGTTTCTTTCTCTTTAGGCCTTTCACAACTAGGACTGAGAATGTATGTAAAAGTTCTGTGACAGTACAGAAGGAAAACAACTTTTTATGTATAGCTTCTAAAAGGGAAAAAAAAAAAGAAACCCTTTGACTTCCACGTGCCCATCTCAAGACATTCCGATTGCAGATTTGAGGTTCTGGATTCCAGGTTTGGAGTTTTCCAACGTTAATGCAAACAGAACTGGCACACACACACATTAAGATGAATGTAATTATTATTCCTCTTGCTGGTCACTACCGTTGCTTTCTATTTCTCTTTCTTTGTGTGAATTTATTTAAAAGAAAAAAAAACTTTTTGTAACGACTATTTGCAGTTTAAAAATCAATAAACCCCGTTTTTTCAAGAAACACTGCTGGTGAAGCTAGTTTTACTTTCCCTGTAGGTTTGTCCCTTGAAGATGATGCTGGGGAGATGGGAGGGGTGTTGGTTGGTTTCTTCTCATCCTTCCTGCTGCTAAACCAATGGCAAGCTCCCTTTGTTGCTGGAAGTCTGAGCTTAGAGGGGATGGGAAGGAGGTTTATTGCCAAGGAGCCTGTACTTCTCTGCATTGTTGGCCCAGCGTGTTGGTTGTTGACAAGGGGCCAGCTGTGCCTACCTGAGGTACGGGGGCTTCCAGTCTTCTCTGCTTAGCCTGTGGTCTTAATTCCTCTGGGTGATGTTTGAGGTGCCCCTATAGTGGAGGGGGAACATAGCACATGGCACTCCAGTGAGCCTGGCTTTGGGTGAGTCATTTGGGTGCTTCCAGGCTCGTTTTTCCCACAGGAAATTCCTGAAGCCCTAGCCTCTCAGCACCTGTCTGGGCTTGGTATGATGAAGTATTACAGGCTTGGAGGGGAGTCTCCAGGTGATGAGGGGCCCAGACCAGGGCACTGGGAGTGGGGGTGGTTTCACCTGGATCTGATGTGCTTATGTTTTTGGGGGGCTGTTAAGGGGAAATGGGTATTAAAATGGCCAGTATATAGGCGCTGGCCGGGTGGCATAGTGGTTAAGTTCACACACTCCACTTCGGCAGCTTGGGGTTCGTGGGTTGGGATCCCGGGCACGGACCCACGCACTGCTCATCAAGCCATGCTGTGGAGGCGTCCCATATAAAGTAGAGGAAGATGGGCACGGATGTTAGCCCAGGGCCAATCTTCTTCAGCAAAAAGAGGAGGATTAGCAGCAGATGTTAGCTCAGGGCTAATCTTCACCAAAAAAAAAAAAAAAAAGGCAGTATAACAGGAAGTCATCAGTAGTTCCCACCACCTGAGTCTTCATTACACCCCCGATGCCGTGCAGAATAGGTAGGTTGTCACCTTGGGAAGGGTGGGGTCCCATTGGCTAGAAGCACCGCCACCAAGGCAGATGACCACTTAGAAGGGGATGTTTCGCCTGCCAGAGAGAGGTTGGATCCTTCCGAAAACGCTGAGTCTGGTTCTTGGGAGCGTTTCTTGTTGGGGAGGCAGAGACGGATATTGCTTCTTGAGGCTTGGCTGCCTTTGGTTCCTTGCACTCAGTAAGCTTTTTGGAGAGTAAGCTGAATTTCCGCGTTGACTCCGCCTGGCCTCTCCCAGTTAGGTCGGCAGTGGACACTGGCTGGGCCAGGGCTGTCCTTGAGCCTGGGCAGGCCCACCTTAGGTACCCTGTGGACTCTTAACTTTCCTGGCCAGCAGGCGCCTGCTGGGGGGCAGGGGTGGGAGAGAGAAAAAAGCGACTATTGCCTCTTCCAGGGCAGGGCCTGGTGGCGGAGGAAGGGGAAAAGCAGCCCTTCCTGGGACAGGAGTGAACCTAGGCCTCTTGCCCCTGAAGGAGGGAATGAGTGTGTGTGTGTGTGTGTGAGTGTGTATGTGTGGTGGGTGGTGATGGTGGTGGCAGTGGCATGTACTCTTCCTTTCTTTTTTTTTTTTTTTAAAGATTTTATTTATTTATTTTTTCCCCCCCCAAAG